TTAGCGGTCGATTGTTTTCAGAATTGGGATGTTGATCATGTGCTTCGTGATGTTCAGATTCTTGTTCTCGAGCCAATGAATTACGGCGGGAACCACATTGTGAATCCGAATTATTTCGAAGATGGCAGATTTGCTGTTTTGCATTGACCCTACTACATGATAAAATTGATTGCATTTGTTGTTGCAGCTTATCGATGCTTGTAATTGCCTCCTTATGTTTTGATTGATTGTTTGCAGCAGTTGTTGCTTGAAGTGGGCTCTTTGATTTTAATAGTTGGCAATTTGAGTAATCATGCTGCTTTTGTTTTACTGATCCTCCATCGCCTGCACCTTCTACTTCAAAAAGTTTTGTTTTAAGATGTTGTTGTTCCAATTTACGTTTTGCATCTCCTTTTTTTTTACTGTTGCTAGCACTTGCATGTTCATTACTTTTTTTTTGTGGATTAGAAGTTTGTTGGGACATAGCTTGCATCTGTGCACCTCACGCTTTAAATTTTGGTTTTGTATTCTTGGGCACTTTAGAAATTTTAGTAAAAGCTGTCCTGTAAGTTTTTTTTTAGTTTTCAGTTTTTTTCTTTTTTATAAAAGTTAAACTAAAAAACTAAAGTTAAACTGAAAGTATATGAAATTTGACAACTCAATCAAAACACATATGGCCAATTTACATAGAACTTTTTCTTCGCCTTGCGTCAGGCATTTGTTTTGACAGAAAAGCTCGATTTAGGCTTTTGTATGAGTACGTTCACATAAAAGGTATTCGCCGCGAAGCCAAACAAAATATTGAAAAATTCTCATCTTTTCACGTTTTTGTTTTCGTTCACATGAGGACACTGTTGTGTTTTGGTGTCGCCAGAGAACGTAAATGAATAGAGAAGGAGCAAATGTTAAATGAAATCTTTTTGAGTACTAATTTGTAGTTCCAGATGAGGGAACATCGAAAAATATAACTTCGAAAAATAAAAATACACCACGCAATGTGCGAAATGCTATAAATAGACACAACGGATATTCCTAAATGAAAAATCGTTGCGCATACCTATTTAGATTTATGTTTTCAATTTCTATGAAATGACAAATTTATAATTATGAAAAGCCTTCTTAAAAATCTGTATTACCGGTAAAAACCCCAGAATTCATAATAAAATAAACATTTAATAGGCTATTTTTTCAACTTATGTATGTGCGTTATGTGAGCAATTGCTTATTACACAAAGGATAACAATAAAACGATGGCTAAGCGGCCACATTTCCACTTTTGTGGTGGCTGAGGTCGTAAGCGGGAAGGGGGTTAAGCACAATCCGAATACGAACCTATACGTTCGAATCCTAAAACTCATGAAACTGAAATTTTATTTAATTTTTTATTTTATTAATTGGAATCTAAGCATATCATAATTCAATTACTTTAATAGCATATTAAACTTCCTGAGATAATTAAAATATTTCAGGAAAATATGTTCATATGTTTGGGTTTATTGCATATTCCTTTATTTATGCGTATTTACACAAATGTGATAATCACACATACATTCATGAGTACACGTACGCTGATGCTTGCTTCTTCTTGCCCGCACAAGCAATGACTTTTGTCCACACTTTTGCTTTTTGCGAGTTGAACGATCGCAGGCAAGGAGGGATTGGGGGGCACTGCCACATAATTATTTCAGATATATATTTTATTTATCGAATTTAGTTTAAAAACTATTATAGGTATGAATATATGTGTATTTATATATATATATAATATATATTATATTACGAAAATAATTCATAAATGCATCAGTATTTTTCAATACAAAATAAGCAACATAATAATAACTAAGAGTCTTCAGTTAGAACGCCTCTGTGTATAGTGGCAAGCCAACGAAATAACGGCGATTCGCGCAGACATTGTGTTGTTGAAAGTAACAATTACGATTTTGTCGACAAACATACATATATACATATGAGCTCGCATACATATTGACGCCGAATTTTGCGCATCGTGGCGGGTGACAAAATTTGTTTCAATCAACAATTTTACGACAATGTTGATCGGCTATGTTGTCTCGTTTGTCCTTTTGCAGGGCTTTGCTGTTGAAAAATTACTTATGCTCTTTTGAAATATTGCGATTACCGATTGGGCTGCATTTTCATAGCGTCGTATTGAATAAAAGGGCTAAATCGACAAACTATGAAATAATGATAATAAGTAAACATATAAAAGTACTATATGGACTGTGCTTAGAATATATAGAGTAGTTAATGATTTCATATGAATGGCAATTAATATAAATTTTGTAATTTAATGCCATAAATAGTGCATAATATGCAAAATATAAATATTATTTAAACTCGCTAATAGGTCATGTTGCCAATTCTCCTTTCTGAAGTGAACATCAGACAAATTCTTCAATTTCTGATTTTAGCAAATGTGTGAGGAAGCAGCTTGTGGCAACATCAAACGCGAGGGGGTGTAGGATTTTCAGTGATACAAATTGTAAAATTGAAATTTTGCTGATTCTTCAATTTTACTGAAGACATTCAAATTCAATTTCATTCATTTTTATTTCGCGCATTTGCGATAGGAATTCTATATGAAAACCAAATGTGGCTTACCAGGCGCACAGAAAAATAGCGCGGCGCAGAGTTATGAACGAACGCACTTTGCTTTGAAGTAGCGCACGTTCCTTATGAATGAATTTGTTGTCGTTGTAATATGAAATACTTAGAAAATAAGCGCGAGTTCGCTTGAATATTATTGGCCGATGGTGGTGCGTCTACGTTTTTGTCACTTGCGCGATTGTTTGATTTTATGCGAAAGACATATTGAGGACATACATATGTATATGTACATATGTGTTCATATATGGAAATATATTTGGACATGCGAATGAAGAGGAAGCAATTCAAGAATATTCACATATAGACATATGAACATTGAAGCAAGTAAACAACAATAGCTGTTTGAGTTCACAGATTAGACAAGAAGCATGAATATCGTCTGTGGTGTGCTTGTATAGCACACTTCCTTATTGCAATGAAATGCTTTGCCTAAGTTCAAATCCTATCATATTTTTATATGCTATTTTTATTTTTAATAACCTTTTTTATTGAATGATATTTTAATTCTATTTTTATATTATTTCCCTGATTATTGAATTTTCTTGTCGGAAGTCAATTACTTTCGTTTTATTATTTCATTTTGTTTATGCGCATATCAAAGAACATCTGTGCATATGCATGTGTATACATTTTGCTTATAGAGTGGTGTAGTTCGTTCGTACCTGATAGTTGTGGTGAAATTTTTTTTCCAATTTGCGCGTTTTCGATGTTCCTCCATCGTAATTAACATTTTAGTACTGTCGCCAGAGAATGTTGATGAGTAGAGAAGGAGCAAATGTTAAATGAAAACTTTTTGAGTACTAATTTGTAATTCCACATGAAGGAACATCGAAAATATAACTTCGAAAAGAAAATACACCACACAATGTGCGAAATGCTATAAATAGACACAACGAATATTCCTATATGAAAAACGTTGCGCATACCTATTTAGATTTATGTTTTCAATTTCTATGATATGACAAATTTATAATTATGAAAGCCTCTGAATTAAAAATCTGTATTACCGGTAAAAAACCCAGAATTCATAATAAAATAAACATTTAATAGGCTATTTTTCAACTTATGTATGTGCGTTATGTGAGCAATTGCTTATTAAACAAAGGATAACAATAAAACGATGGCTAAGCGCCACATTTCCACTTTTGTGGTGGCTGAGGTCGTAAGCGGGAAGGGTTAAGCACAATCCGAATACGAACCTATACGTTCGAATCCTAAAACTCATGAAACTGAAATTTTATTTAATTTTTATTTTATTAATTGTAATCTAAGCATATCATAATTCAATTACTTTAATAGCATATTAAACTTCCTGAGATAATAAATATTTCAGGAAAATATGTTCATATGTTTGGGTTTATTGCATATTCCTTTATTTATGCGTATTTACACAAATGTGATAATCACACATACATTCATGAGTACACGTACGCTGATGCTTGCTTCTTCTTGCCCCGCACAAGCAATGACTTTGTCCACACTTTTGCTTTTTGCGAGTTGAACGATCGCAGGCAAGAGGGATCGGGGCGCACTGCCACATAATTATTTCAGATATATATTTTATTTATCGAATTAGTTTAAAAACTATTATAGGTATGAGTTTATGTGTATTTATATATATATATATATATATTATATTACGAAAATAATTCATAAATGCATCAGTATTTTTCAATACAAAATAAGCAACATAATAATAACTAAGAGTCTTCAGTTAGAACGCCTCTGTGTATAGTGACAAGCCAACGAAATAACGGCGAGTTCGCGACATTGGTTGTTGAAAGTAACCAAATTACGATTTTGTCCACAAACATACATATATACATATGAGCTCGCATACATATTGACGCCGAATTTTGCGCATCGTGGCGGAGTTGACAAAATTTGTTTCAATCAACAATTTTACGACAATGTTGATCGGCTATGTTGTCTCGTTTGTCCTTTTGCAGGGCTTTGCTGTTGAAAAATTACTTATGCTCTTTAAATATTGCGATTACGATTGGGCTGCATTTTCATAGCGTCGTATTTGAATAAAATGGGCTAAATCGACAAACTATGAAATATGATAATAAGTAAACATATAAAAGTA